GCGGGCCGGCCGGCGGGCGAGCGCTGCTGCTGCCCGCTGTGCTGCTGTGCCTGTGCTGCCGGGCGGCGCCGGAGCGGCTCCGCTACGCCATCCCCGAGGAGCTGCCCACAGGCTCGCTCGTGGGGCCGCTGGCACGGGACCTGGGGCTCAGCCCGGACGAGCTGCCGGCGCGCAAGCTGCGGCTCAGCGCGGACAAGCAATACTTCACTGTGAGCGAGGAGAACGGGAACCTGTACGTGAATGAGAGGCTGGACCGGGAGGAGCTGTGCGGCAAATCGGGGTCCTGCTCCATCAGCTTCGAGGCGCTGGTGCACAACCCGCTCAATGTTTTCCACGTTGAGGTGGCCCTTGAGGACGTGAATGACAACTCCCCGACCTTCAGCAAGGCTACTCTGGAACTAGAGATCGATGAATCGATTCCTCCCGGTACTCGTTTTCCTCTGGAAATGGCCCAAGACGCAGACGCGGGAAGCAACTCGATGCTTAATTACCAGATCAGCAGCAACCCATCCTTCAGTCTGGCAGTAAAAGAGAACCCAGGTGGAAAGAAGCAGCCGGAATTAGTGCTGGAGAAAACACTGGATCGGGAGAAACAAAGTTCCCTTGAGCTGGTGCTGACGGCAGTGGATGATGGGGATCCCGCGAAATCTGGGACTGTTCAGGTTCGTGTCAACGTGACGGACGCCAACGACAACCCGCCCGTGTTCAGCAAAGCAGTGTACGAGACGCGAGTGCCGGAGAATCTGCCGGCGGGGTCGCTGGTGCTGCAGGTGCGGGCCACGGATGCGGACGCGGGATCCAATGGGCGGGTCTCCTATTCCTTCAGCAACGTCCCGGAGGCGATCCATGAGTTGTTCTCTATCGACAGCGAGAATGGCGAGATTAGGACGTCGGCTGCCCTTGATTTCGAGGAGAAAAGTGAATACAGCTTCGGCCTTGAGGCGAGGGACGGTGGTGGACTCACGGGTCACTGTCAAGTGCAGATAGACATCACGGACGAGAACGACAATGCACCCGAGATCGCAATTCTGTCACTGTCGAGCCCCGTGCCCGAGGATGTGCCAGCCGGCACCGTGGTGGCCCTGCTGAAAGTTCGTGACCGGGACTCCGGCGAGAACGGTGAGGTATCGTGCGAGCTGTCGGGAGAGGCGCCGCTGTCGATCGTGGCGTCGTCGGGCGGCTCGTACAAGGTGGTGACGGCGAGCGCGCTGGACCGCGAGCAGGCGTCCGAGCACTGCGTGACGGTGGTGGCCCAGGACCGGGGCAGGCCGGCGCTGTCGAGCGCGGCGGAGCTGGTGCTGGAGGTGTCGGACGTGAACGACAACGCGCCGGTGTTCGAGGAGGCGGCGTACAGCGCGTACGTGCGGGAGAACAACGCGGCGGGCGCGCTGGTGGTGCGCGTGAGCGCGCGGGACGCGGACGCGGGCGCCAACGGGCGCGTGAGCTACTGGCTG